TGCAGTACTGGCATGACTGTTACGGGGTAACTACAGCTTTCTGATTGGATCTGAGGCCTGATTCACAGGAGGGATTTTATGCCAGGTTCTCTTCACTCAGCTAAAACCCATACCTGGAGAAACCATATGCCCCAGGGTAGAACCTGCTATCATCATTCTCCTGAATGACCACTTTGGGAAGTATTTATGCTACACCTGTAGACCTGGGATCCTCTCAACCTGGGTCAGAGAAACTTCTTTCTGCTGCATGCAGTGGTCAGTGCAGACAGCAGACACCTAACTGGGCAGAGTGCTGCAAAGAATGCACTGAGTGCTCAACTTTAAATGGGCCATTGTTATAACTGCTATTCTTCCCCCACTCCTGCTAAGGCCATCCTTATAACTGCTGTCCTCCCCACCCCACCCCTGCTAAGGCCATCCTTATAACCACTATCCTCCCCCCACCCCTGCTAAATGGGAAGGAGTGGCCCTTGCATTCATCCATGGACTCACAGCAGCTGTGGTTACCTGAACATGGTCTACACGAGAGCAAGCCAACTAACAGCCCACATAGATAGGGTAGATGATCTCCAAGTCTCATACCGAGGAGCTTTTGGTACTTGATAGCTGCTGGGGAAGAGAAAATCATTCTTTGAGGGTGTGGACAACGGTGGTTTCCCTGCTCCGGTGGATGCCCCCCAGCCTGAATGCACATGTGAGTTATACTAATTGGATTTAGTGAGTTATCAATTTAAAAAATGAGAAAGAGGGGCTGGAGAGATGGCTCAGTGGTTAAGAGCATTGCCTGCTCTTCCAAAGGTCCTGAGTTCAATTCCCAGCAACCACATGGTGGCTCACAACCATCTGAAATGAGAACTGATGCCCTCTTCTGGCCTTCAAGCAAACACACAGACAGAATATTGTATACATAATAAATAAATAAATAAATAAATAAATAAATATTTAAAAAAAAGAAAAAAATGAGAAAGACTATACAAAAAAGAAAAAAGTCATAAAGTCAGGAGGGGCAGGTGTTTGGGGATACAGAGGGAGTTGGAGGGGGAATGGGAATGCATATGATCATATTTCATTGTCTGCATGCATAAAATTTCCAAAGAATAAAAAAATCAACACATAATAGAAAAATAGATTTTTTTAAATTGGAGGGGCAGCATTTTAAGACAGAGTCTCACTATGTAGCTCTGGCTGTGCTGGAACTTATTATGTAGACCAGGCTGGCCTTGAACTCACAGAGATCCACCTACCTCTGCCTCCCGAGTGCTGGGACTAAAAACATGTGCCACACTATGTGTCTGAGAAAAATAGATTTTTTTTAAAAGATTTATTTATTTATTATGCATACAACATTCTGCCTCCATGTATACCCACATGCCAGAGGAGGGCACCAGATCTCATTATAGATGGTTGTGAGCCACCATGTGGTTGCTGGGAATTGAACTCATGACCTCTGGAAGAGCAGCCAGTGCTCTTAACCTCTGAGCCATCTCTCCGGCCCAAAAATAGATTTTTTTATTTTTTCAGAGACAGGGTTCCTCTGTGTAGCCCTGGCTATCCTGGAACTCACTCTGCAGACCAGGCTGGCTTCAGACTCAGAGATCTGCCTGCTTCTGCCTCCTGAGTGCTGGGATTAAAGGTGTGTGCCACCATGCCCAGTCCTTACCCTGGAGGTAAGGTATTAAACCTCAAATGATCTCTAGAACACAGATCAAAATCTGCCCAGATTCTGTGTGAAAACCGTGCACCTCTAGAATCAAAAAACCAATTGCTTAGTGTGGCATTCCCAGATCGTGACTCACTATAGCCTTCCCTCTGCCCATCCTCCTGATGCTCGGGGGGCGGGGAGGCTGGAGGCTGGAAAGAACCTCTCCCTGGTTCCTGAGCCCAGTGCTCTCTCCAGCCCCTCTGTGCATGTAAATTCCCCTAGAAGCTTTCCTCATTCTGCCAACTCCCACTCCACCAGCAAGCCTTCCCCAGGTTTGTTAGCCATCACTGTGCAGTGCTCTGGGCAGGCTGTCACCTCAAGGAACCTCCCTGCTGGTCAAACCAATCATCTTCCTTGAGACAGAAGAGCCGTGGGGTCCAATACTCTGCATCTCCTGTGGCCAGCTTTCATCCCTCTGTGGCAGCCCTCCCGGTGGGCCCTCTCCCACTGAGAAGGCAGGGAGTCCTCAAGGATAGGAGGCTGGGGCACTTGTCAGGTAAGCTCTGGAGACCAGGGAGTTCCATCCCAAGCCGCCAGCATTTGTCACCTGTAAGTCAGGTAAACTCCTTGCCTCTGTATGCCCCTGCTTTGACATCAATACTGAAATAAACACTTAGCTCTTAGGTAGTATGATGACCATTCACTAAAATCCAAGTGACTGGCCACTCCTGTGAGGACTTTGCAGATTTGAAGCAGGAAGGTGCACCCCAAATCACAGCCACAAATTCTTGTGGCGCCTACATAAAAGGGCATGGAAGAAGGACGCTTTGCTTTTTGTCCTCACTCATGCTGGAAAGTTCATCATCCTGCTGCGGCACTCCTTCGCTGATATTAGAACTTAACTTCTTTGGAATCTCAACAGACTGAACAACTATCAAATTCTTCAGAGACAGCCATTTTTGGACTAGCTGGATCATAGCCTGTAAGTCACTCTAGTATATCCTTGTTTAATATATATGGATTCATTCTATCAGTTCTTTTCCGCTAAAAAACCCTAGCAGAGGTAGAGAAGAAGCGACGGCTCTCCCACCCACACCGGCCAGGCAAGCTTATGTCCTGGCACATTTTATCCGCATCCCCAGTAACAAGGTAGGAATGTTAGCTGGGTCCAGTGCATAAAGTGGCAGAGAAAACAGAGGCAGACTGTCATCTGCTTCACCCCGGCCTACCAGGTTTCAACACTTCCATCCTGCAGGAATGGAAGAGAACTGGGAGCAAGGAAGGGAGGCTGCAGATGGGGGTGTGCATCAGCTCCTGCCAGGGGGGCCCACCAGCACAATGGTGATGATAGCAGCCACAGGGACTGTGGAGCAGAGAGAGCATCATCTTGGCCTTTCTTCCATGGGTACAGATAGATAGGACCCTCACCTTTTCAGTTTCTTCTACATGCCAGGTAGATGTAGAACTGAGGGCTTTGCTGTCACATCCCCAATGGGCGTGAGTCATTACCCAGGTCATATAAACCCAAGCTGAGAAGACCAGAGCTCAGAGGCAAGGCCTCTCTGTCTCCACAGCCTGTACTGTAAGCCAGGCAGGTGTCTCACTGCAGTGGGTGAGGCTCAGTTCTGGCAGCCTCAACTTAGAATCACAATTATCCCAAATTAGACTTTGGAACCTGAAGCTTCACACACTGACACCCCCCCCACACACACACCTGAAATCAGGTTGTGCAGTACACAAGCAGTCCTCCCAACTGCGCATAGCAGGTCCAAAAACATCCCAAGTCTTTGAACTGAAGCTGTGGATTCTACCCTCTCAACTGGACGCAGCCCATTCTTTCCACAGCCTTTGGGTGTCCCAATGTTAAACCAACCACCTTAAATGCACCAAATGCCCCTCTAGCTCCTGCTCCCAGGGTGAGGCACACCTTGCTTTAGGACTGCGTTGTGGAACCACTCATTTCCTCCTCTGTTGGTGCAGGGTGCGAGGGCTAACATTTTGTTTTAAGTCTAAATTACTGTGCTTAAGAGATCTCAAAAACAGAAATGCCTCTAATCTGCAAGCCCCACTTGCCCAAGGACAGATTACTTCCTGGCGTAAGCTAACCAGCCAGGCATTCTCACTTCAGTAAACAAGCTTGGTTGCCCCAACTGCACAGGATATGTGCTTGCCCGTGATTGGATGAAGGTAGGGTTTGTCTTTACAAGCAAAAAATGTCATCCTGTGCCATACTCTGCGAATCCCAAGTATGGACCTGGCCAGTGTCCATTGTCCTGGCCAGCACTTAATAAAGCTGGCCTCAAATTTGGCTCAAAAATTGTGGTAGTGGTCTTGTTCTCTCCTAGTGGGGTTAACACTAGGTTTCCTCCCAGACCATTCCCCAGTCCCACGGTCTACCTCAGCACATCCTTCATTCCAGCCAGAATACTCTCGGGATTCTGCAATGTCTCCTCAGTTTCTCCCACCCCAGGAACAAGGTGCATTCCGGGCTGTCCTGTCCATCCTCAGCCAGGGTCGGCACTCCTGCCTCCCCAGTCACCTTTCTTCCCAGGAAGGCAGGATGTAGCAGCAAGCAGACAGAAGTGACTCGCCATCCCAGGGTAAAGTGAGCTCAGGAGCCGGGAAGGAAGTGTAGGAACCTGCGCCTTTGGCTTTTCTTCCTACCTACACCTGCAACCTTCACCCCTGCCCCAGTCCAGCTCCCTGCCGGTGTATAAGTGAAAGGTGTCTGTCTGGTTGGGAGTGTCACCTCAGCTCCCTGGCACGCCTTTATCCAAGGAGTCTGGGATGTTTGGTTGAATGCGTCACCCTAGCCCCCTGGCATCCACTTTGGAATGTTTGGTGGAAAATCCATTCCAAGCCCCCTCCCTTGGGAGTTGCTACAATCCAGACTCCACCTCTGAGAAAGCCCCCAAATGGTGACCCCTCCACAGAGAGGGTCAAGGCCACGCCCACAGGCTATTTACTCTCTCTCTCTCTCTCTCTCTCTCTCTCTCTCCAGAATGAACACATGGTCTTTCCGGTTCTCCTTTGCCCTCCTGGAGGGTCACCCAGGAGCGCTGGCAAACAGTAAACCTGGGCTTTTTCTAATTTGGTTTGATTTGGTCTGATTTGGACTATTGCCTCGGCAAAAAGGCTTATTGGGCAGAAAAATCTTTACAGTGTCATCTTTTGCACCCTGTCTGGTCAACAAAGGTGACAAACCAGTGGTCCACAAAACATTTTGTTTGGCCTGCCATAGCTTTTGAAAGTTTTAGTTAGCTGCTACCATTTAAAAATCAGAAAATTCTGCATAAGAATCCAGTGTTCTAGTTCCGATTGAAAAGGGAGATCTGGTGGCACAAACGGGCCCACCGCCAACCCCATTTCTTCAGGGTGACAGCCAGCTAAAGCTAGTTTTAGCTGCTCCTTTGCTCGGGGCTATATTCTGCCTTCTGAAGTTCTAAGCCTCCTAATAGCAGCTGCCATACACACTGGCTCCGTGGCTTTCGACTACATCTGTGTGAGGCTTCTCTTCCAAAGGAACAGAAGGGCTAGGACAACCCCAGCCATCTTTCTTGGCCTCAGGCCTCGGGGGGCGTGGGCGGTCAGGAAGAGCAGGGTGGGCTGGAAGGCTGATCCCCGTCAAGCCACACTTCCAACTTCTCTGGCGATTTTCCTGCAGCATCCCAGAACTCCCTGTGTCCGGTCTTGAGCCTGGCTGGGGCCAGGTGGCTGCAGCTATGGAGGGAGCTGGCCCAGGTGGCTGCAGCTATGGAGGGAGCTGGCCCAGGTGGCTGCAGCTATGGAGGGAGCTGGCCCAGGTGGCTGTAGATAGGGGGCTGGCTAGTCCTTCAGGTCACTCTGCATCCTCTAGAGCTGGGCCTAAGGCCTGAGGTTTCCTGAGCCTGAGCAGCACTGAGGTCTGGAAGCACAGGCTTCCTTACTGTTCAGCCAGTTCAGCCAAATATGCACCATGGGGTGGCTGCCTTGTCACAATCCAACATGATGTTGAGGACAGTGCAGGGGGCCCCTCCTACAGACAACGCTGTGCGGGAATCCACCCGGTACTTCACAGTGTTCAGGCCGCCCTCCCGGTCCACCTTGAATTGTTCCTGGGAAGAAGAGAAGAACATGAACTCACGCTTCATGGTGCCAACTGTTCACCCATCTCCGTTAAAAGAGAAGAGCCCAAAGCTGCCATCTTGTCCAAGCCTGCACCTAAGGAAAATTCAGACTTCTCTATGGGACTATATACCTCCCAGAAAGGGAGGCTGCACCTTCAGTTAACCCTTCCCACCCAGTCTATAGGAGGCTGCACCTTTAGTTAACCCTTCCCACCCAGCCTACAGGAGGCTGCACCTTTAGTTAACCCTTCTCACCCCAGCCTACAGGAGGCTGCACCTTTAGTTAACCCTTCTCACCCAGCCTATATGGATCAGGTCTGGGCTGATCCACAGGGCCCAGATGCACACTGCAGCCACCAAGCAGGGCAGGGTGCCCACAGAGAATGCCCATCAATGGGAGGATGGCACCGTTTGGGCCAAAGGGGAGCTTGGTGGGATGATAAAGCCTACTAGCTCCTACTGGTCCCCCCCCCCCCCCATTGAGGAGACTGGCCACCACCTGTTTCTGAGCTGCAATGCGTTTCTGGTCCCTCTTCCGCCAGGCTGGGTCATGCAAGTGGCGAAATGTCTGGTACCCAGTTGTGATTCCTGAGGGGCGGAAAAGCTAAGGAAAACAAAGGAAGTAGGGGTCAGGCTGCCTCTCTTGTCATCTTGGCCCTTACCACTAACTCTTCTGGGATCCCACTGGCTGCCACAGGCAGGGGCTCTTACTGCCATCCTGCAGGACAGGAGTCTCTGGCAGAAAGCCCTGCAAGTCAGCATGAAAGCAGGGATCAGAACCCAGGGCAACCACTGCAAACCCCAAGGTGCAACAAGGAAAGGGACCCTCGGGACAGCCATGTAGCCCAGGGGCAGGCAGTGTGGGAGGAGCCTTACCTGGAGGCCAGCTCCCTTGATGCGCCGGTAGAATTCATCATCCTCTCGGCCCCAGCCCCAGAAGCGGTTGGACATCCCATTGCACTGACACAAAGACAGGCAGTGTCTGTCACATGCCCCTCCTCCCACGGGTGCACTTTTTTCTCTTACTGCTTAGGAGAATGAAGCCTGAGCCCAGCCAGCCGGGCTCCCCCTTCTTCTTCCTGCCCTGACTGTTCTGAGTGATACAGGGCACTGGCTGGTCCCTTTACTCTGCGATGGGGATGTGAGGCTGAACGCAAGGGTCAGCGCATCTTAGGCCTTCCCCACTCCTCACAGGGCCTTGAACTTGTATGTGATAAGTATCTCGAGGGCAAGCTCCCTTCAGGGGGCAAAAATGCCAACTGCTACGGCTTCTGCCTTCCTCTCAGAGCTGTTCTCCTGCGGTGGCTCTGCCCAGGTCTTTCCTGTGTGTCTGAAGGGCAAGCCTGATTAGCATCTGCTCAGGGACTGCAGCCATGAAGGACAGAGAACAGTCACTCCAATCTTCTCACCCAAGTGTCCCTGGGTCCCATTGAGAACCAGTACGCTTTAGTTTGGGACTCCTGTCTAGACTTCTGAGGAGGAGGGGCTCCATCTCCCACCAGCCGGGCCACATTTCACAGGCCATAGTGACACAACCTTCTCACATGAGAGACAGATGTAAAGTAGTGGCATGTAAAGAGAAAGGAGGGCCAGTGACACTGCCGAGGGAGAGTCTGCAGTCAGCACATCACCAGCTCTCTCTGGCCAGCAGGCGCGGGGGCTTCTGTGCTCACAGCAGAGCTCTCCCTGGCTAATGTGCTCGCTCCTGTCCTCCCTCATGTCTCTGAGTCCCCTGTCAGGCTCAGGCAAGACTCACTCTGCTAGGCCCCAGGAAGGCTGCTCTACCCCCACAACTGCCTAGACCCAGGGTGGAAGGTCCCCAGCAAATGAGTAGAGCTGGGCCTCACCAGCTGGTAGTGCTGCTTAGAGAGCAGCAGGATGCCGCCCACATACGTCTTGTAGTGGTAGAGAGGGTGGAGCTCTGGGGAGGCCACGTGGAAGGGCCCAGCCTCCGGGAAGCCATAATCCAGCTCCTCATTGAGAGGGAGCAGATCGACGTCATGCATGGCAATGTAGTCTGTGCTGTTGCCGCTCTCCAGGAAGCCCACATTGATGAGTGCCCGCCCGGTTGAACCTACACAAGATAAATGATGCCAGGTAGAGGAAGCCAGCTTGTTCATCGACTAGCTCTAGCCCTCGCTGTGCGTGAGAGTTTCTCTCTGTCTCACCCAACATTGACATCATGATAGGGGCACTGTCCCTTCTGCTTGCTGTACAAGTGTTTATAGAACACCTAGTATATGCCCGCAACTGTTCAAACCCACACTGGAAGAAATAGCATTGGGAAACAAATCCCTGTTCTCAAGGGCCTTCGGATAGGAAGAAGCAAGTCAAACAGGGTGAAGGGAACGGGAAGGGGAGGTGGGCAGCTTTTCTCCCACAAAGGGCTGTCTGGACATCAGGGTAGCAGGGCGATATCTGAGTTAGAACTTGAAAGCCTGAGGGAATGATCATATGGAAGCTGGGGACAGGGCTCCGCACACAGGAGCGTAACTCCAAGGCCACCAAGACCAGACACCAGGAAGCTCCAGTCAGTACACTGAGACGAGACTAGGGGATGAGGTAGACACTGAGGGGGGGGGGGGGGTGGCCTGGCAGCAAAAGGAATGGTGAGAAGTGGGCAGACTCTAGACACGATTTGCTGACAGCCTGGAGGCTGTGACAGGCAGAGTCTGACTTGCATAACTAGAAGTATGTAGTTTCCACTTTCTGAAATGGGGAAGACAGGAAAGAAAGCAGGTCTGAGGGAATAGCAATCAGGAATTCAGCCATGATCTTATCAGGTCTGAGGGAATAGCAATCAGGAATTCAGCCATGATCCTATCAGGCTCAGGCTGTTGCTAAGACCTCTATCTGGTGGTCTCATCATGAGGGGAGGCAGAATATACAAGCCCGGAATTCAAGAAAAAAAGGGTATGAATGTTCAAACTAGGAGTTTCCAGTGATTTTACTACCAGGAGATGAGATGGGATGGGATTCTCCAGGAGACTGCAGCTGAGGGGAGGGGAGCGCTGAGCTCCAGGGAAAACCAATGAGAGATCAGAGACACAAGGGGAAAGGAGATGAGCAGGGTCGGCCACTGAGATGGAGAAAACCGGAAGTTAGGCAGAGTCGTTAGAAGGGAAAAGTGTACTTAATAGGAGCCAGTGATGGGAGAGAATGAGGGCCTGGGATTATGGGAGTCACCGTGACCCTCATGAAGGCTGTTTCAGATCTTCCGAGAAGTCTGATCAAACAGTATTGAAGCCGGGCGTTGGTGGCGCACATCTTTAATCCCAGCACTCGGGAGGCAGAGGCAGGCGGATCTCTGTGAGTTCGAGGCCAGCCTGATCTACAAGAGCTAGTTCCAGGACAGGAACCAAAAGCTACGGAGAAACCCTGTCTCGAAAAATTAAAAAAAAAAAAAAAACAGTATTGAAGATAATCTCAGCACTCAGGATGCAGAGGCAGGTGGATCTGAGTTCTAGGCCACCTGGTCTACAAGATTGAGTTTTCCAGGACATCTAGGGCTACAGAGAAACCCTGTCTTGCTTTTTGTTTTTTTTTTAATTTATTTACTAAGTATATAATGTACTGCAGGCAAGGAAGGAACCAGGTCTCATTACAGATGGTTGTGAGCCACCATGTGGTTGCTGGGAATTGAACTCGGGACCTCTGGAAGAGCAGCCAGTGCTCTTACCCTCTGAGCCATCTCTCCAGCACCCATGTCTTGTTTTTTTGTTTGTTTTGTTTTGTTTGTTTTCAGGTTTTTTGGGTTTGTTTTTTTGTTTTGTTTGTTTTTTTTGAGACAGGGTTTCTCTGTAGTTTTGGAGCCTGTCCTGGAACTTACTCTGTAGACCAGGCTGGCCTCGAACTCATAGTGATCCACCTGCCTCTGCCTCCTGAGTGCTGGGATTAAAGATGTACACAACCACTGCCTGGCTGAGAAACCTGTTGTGAATAAAAAAGTGGGGTGATAGCAATGGGGGTGTCAGACAGAGAAGCCTTTTTCCCTTCTTTTTCCTCTCTCTCTCTCTCTCCTCTCTCTCTCTCCTCTCTCTCTCTCTCTCCTCTCTCTCTCTCTCTCTCTCTCTCTCTCTCTCTCTCTCTCTTCTCCTTAAAGACAGGGTCTCACTGTGCAGCCCTGGCTGTCCTGGAACTGGATATGTACCTAGCTTTAAACTCCCAGAGATCCACCATTCCTCCGACTCTCCAGTGCCAGGATTAAAGGAGTATATCGCCATTCCTGGATTCTTCCTTTTAAAACACTAATTGAGTATATATGCAAGTCCCAGAGTGGTGGAGGTCAAAGGACAGCTTGTGAGAGTCAGACCTCTCCTACACACGGTGTGGATTCATCAAGCTTGGTGGCAAGCTCCCCGACTCTCCACTCAACCGTCTTGGGGGCATTATCTCTGTGCATTTATGTGCTCACATGATGACATGAATCACCAAAAGAGCAGAGCAGACTCTGTAGAAGAGGCCCTGTGGCTAGAGCACTGACCTGGAGGAGCAGAGAGGACTGGGACAGGGCTTGCTGGGAGGTGAGTGGGGATGGAAGGGGCATAGGAAAGTGCTCCTCCAGGGACTCTATGTCATCGCTCCTTCCTGTGGTCTTATACAACTTATTCCACATACAGTGATCTTCCTGGAGAAGACATCAGATCGGGGCCCACCCCAAAGGCTCCCACTATACCCAGGGAAAGGGGCTGATCTCCTCCCACCATTGGGCCCTTCCTCCCAGTAGCCCCTCACAGGCCTGAGCCCACTGAGCAACAGGAATAAACACTAAGCCATGGGCAAGGAGAGGCACTGGGACCAGCGGCGCTGGCTCAGGGACCGGTCCTCACCTGAAATGATCCACCTGGTTGAGCACATAGATGTGGTGCTGGATCTTTTTCTTACTTAGGAAGCGGTGCATGTGGGGCACAAAGACCAGGAGCTCCTCAAAGCGTTCCCGGAAGGGTACCAACACTGCCAAGCGGTGCGGTCCCCAAGACGCATCCTCTTCCCAGTGCTCAGGGGGCGGCTCTGGAGGGCAAGCCCGAGGTGGGCCCAAGGTCTCCTGCCCTTGTCCCCTGGTCACCTGGGCCATGTCTCCAGAGCAGCTGAGCTGCAGCCAGAGCAGGGAGAAGAAGACCAACAGGAGAAAGGCAATGAAGAGGTGGAAGATGGAGCACTTCCGCCGGAGGCTTCCAGGAAGCAGCCGGGCCCTAGGATAAGAGCAGGAAGGAGGTCAGGAGGACAGGCCAGCTAAGATCCTTCCAAGGCCCTTTCTCTGGCCTCCTTCTCTAAGGCCAAATGACTAGCCTTCCCTAAATACCTGGCAATTAGTGCAGAAGCAATGTTTAATGTTTTTGCTCATGCTACTACCAATTATGATCAGCACATTCACTTCTGTAAGCCCAGCCTGTGCTATCCCTGGGACACTTTCAGACCATTTACCTCTGTAGGTCTAGCCTGTGCTACTGTCCTGGGGTAACCCACGTGCAACTCAGTTTCCATCTGGAGTCAGTTTTGACTTTTAAGTCACTTGAGGTCAAGCTTGCCTGCCCTGCTTTTTCCAGTAACCTTGAGGACTGTGAGAAACTTCTGAGTTAGCCCATGGGAAAGAGCATTCTGCCCGTGAAAAAGAACACTCTATCTAGCAGAAAGACTACTGCTGCCGTCAAACCTCAGGAACATCAAGATAGAAAGCGAGGCTGCTTCCGAGCAGCAAGCACGTGTTAGTTAGGAGGCCGCTCACTCAAGGCCAGGAATCGTGGTTGGATACTGACTGGATGGACTGACTGTGCCGTGCTTCCTTCTGCTTTTGCATACAAGCAAGTTCTGAAATAAACTCTGGGCTGTTCTGACATGACCAAACAGAGCTCCTGATTCTATGCTGTGTTTTCTGTCTCAGTTTCTTTCATCTGACATTTCCTCTTAACGTCCCCCCCAACCTAGCTGACTTTGTGGGAGCAGGCTTCGACTACCCCACTCCCCACTCCGGGACACTCTCAGACCACTTACAGCTACCCTAGTTCTCCCATGACTTCTCACACTCTGAGGACTCTAGTCAGAGTGCTCAGGGGAAAGGACACACTCACCGTGCGTATGTGTTCTCACTAGGCAGTGTTTTGAGGTCCTTAGCCAATGGCAGGGGTTCCAGTTTAGAAAAATTCAATCCACTGATTTCCAAACGTACTGCTAAGGTACTCAGAAAGCCCCACAAAAGGCGTATGTGTTGACATAAGCCCCCAGGCAAAATGGCTGGCATTTAGTCTAAAGAAGCTCAAAACTGCCCAACATAAAGTACAAAGGGATAGTGGATAGTGGCAGACCACTAGGTAGCCCATAGGACGGGAGATAAAGATAGAGGGGGACAGGGCTGTGTCAGAAACTGGACAAAGAGCTGAATATCTCAGACACTGGGGATGCTGGGGAAACTGCCCTTCAGTGTAACAATTACAACAGGTGGAAAGCCTTGCCTGCATTTCCAGTTCAAGGTCAAACTGGGTAACATAGTGACATTGTCTCAAAAGCAGACAAAACAAATAAGCAAAAAAAGAAATGGTGGAATTCACCTCTGCCTTCTCTGGAAGTTCCTGAGGATACCAGGAATGGCTCTGAGAAATCTAAGAAGGAAGTTCCCTCTATAGTTGCTCCTGCCTTACTGCCCAAGTGACCAGTAAAGAAATCTACTTTATAAACTCTAAGAGTCAGGAATTGGAACATAATAAACAAATAAATCTTTGCTGGAGAGATGGTTCAGAGGCTAAGAGTCAGGAATTAGTTATCAGGTCTTTTGAGGAGGGCAGGGTTGGTTTTTTTGAGACAAGGTTTTTCTGTGTAGCCTGGCTGTCCTAGAACTCACTCTGTAGCCCAGGCTAGCCTCAGAATCACAGAGATCTGTCTGTCTCTATTTCCCAAGTGCTTGGATTAAAGGTGTGTGGCACCACCACCTGGCCGGGTATCAAATCTTGGACTCTACCTCCCAAATTCTCCTGCAATCATCCTGACTCCTGGTCATTGCCCTGTTCTTCACTTTCAATCTGTCCAGCCTCCGTTTACAAGGTCAAGATCCTTGTCTGGCAGTCAGACTCCTCTGACAAAGTGCCTGAGACTTTTGTCACCTCTCCATTTTCCACAAGCATTCCCGCTCACCCTGAGCGACAAGGGCCCTTTCCACTTGCCACATTCCTTCCTGCTCCAGTCCTTTCTCACCCCACCTGCTTCTCCTACTTGACACCCCCTTATTTAATCATGTATCGGTTCCCTTGCAATCTTTCAAGGCCAAAGATCCATGTCATGGCCATCACTGCCTGCACCAAGTTCCCAAGTTCCCTGCTTTGTACTGCTAGGGTACCTGGCACTTCCTTCTTTACATCGCTGATGTGTGGTGAGCTGCATGAGCCTACTTTCAGCATGTGTCCTATTCTTCTCTATGGCTCAGGCCCAGGCAGGGAGCGAGGAGTTAAGGAAGGGTTGAAGCACTTCAAGCATGCTCTAAGTCACACACTGGAGCCACGACCACGCCTACCTTCTCTCTAAAGACACAAGTGCAAATCTGGAAGCCAGCAGCCCTGAAGCCAGGCCCAGCTCCCACATGCAGCTGCGAGGCTGCCCAGTAGGACAGCCCTCACAGGATTTCTGACTTACCCCCCATCATCTTGTGGTGATGGTTTCCACTGTGGAGCAGTAGAGCCCAGACCTGCAAAAGGTCTGACAAGCCTGGAATCTTTACAGAGTCTTTCTTGCACTCTGAGCTCTTCTGGGAGCGGGGTTGAGACTTGGACGAGGGACAATGGGTACCAGACCTCCTTCAGGGGGAATAAGCAATGGCCATTATCCAGGAGTATGGCATGGACTGGACACTTCATGCACTTGCTCGGGATGTTTCTTCAATCCAACTTGCCCTTTTCTACGAGGATCGCAGTACCCAAAGGCACTCTCATTCTGTGCTCTAAAGGCCTAATCCACTAAGGGTCCCAAGTCTATCAATAAAGCTGATGATAGGGGCTGGAGAAATGGCTCAGCGGTTAAGAGCATTGCCTGCTCTTCCAAAGGGGTTGAGTTCAATTCCCAGCGACCACATGGTGGCTCACAACCATCTGTAATGGGGTCTGGTGCCCTCTTCTGGCCTGTAGGCACACACACAGACAGAATATTGTATACATAATAAATAAATATTTAAAAAAAAAAAAAGCTGATGATAGTGAACATTGAGAAGATATTGTTGGTGCCACCTGGTGGCAGTCTCCAGAACTGCAGTCCCAGGTGCTCCCACACCCAGGTTCTGAGGGACACTTTAAAAAAAGGGTTGATCTCCTTTATCAATCAAAGCCTAGGGCTAATTAGAGGTGCTTCAAACTCAAGCAGGCTTGTTTAATAGCTAGTACCCATTTACTACAGAACGTTATACTTGTTGCGTGGATCTTTGCCATTGTGTCAAAAACACAGAATGGACATCAATATATTTTCTAAGAACACAATAAAAGAAACGGATCGTAAGATGGAAATTCTCCTCTATTTCCTCCATATATGATCTTCATTAAACTTCAAAGAGCCCTTCCAAGTAGATAATATGATTCTTCACTTCAGAGATGGAAAACTGAAGTCAGAAAACTAAGTGGTCTGTTTCTGGACAACATGTTATCATCACATTTTAACACCAAATCTGGGGGAAAAAAATTGTGTCCACTAAACTCGAATCTTATAATACCTACTAAACGTGTCACTCATTAAATGAATATCTACTAAGGTGTGTTTTGGTGAAGAAGGACGGGGGAGGGGAGCTTCTTTCTTTCTTTTTTTAATATTTATTTTATTTATTATGTATATAATATTCTGTCTGTGTGTATGCCCGCAGACCGGAAGAGGGCACCAGACCTCTCTACAGATGGTTGTGAGCAACCATGTGGTTGCCGGGAATTGAACTCAGGACCTCTGGAAGAGCAGGCAATGCTCTTAACCACTGAGCCATCTCTCCAGCCTCGAGGGGAGCATATTTCAAGCCTGAAGTATATTGTCCCTATAAATCTAAGCAGAGAAATCACCTCCCCTATTCTGCTTCTGGAGAAATATCTTAAACTCATCAGGTCGGGCCAGACTCACCACCTAACACTCGAGGCTGGACCCAGGCAAGTACCACAGCACAGGAAATGAACTAATGGGTGTGTCTAGGATAAGCCAGGCAATGGCCAACTAACCACGCAGAGAACATAGGAAGCTTCTGTCTGGTGTGATCTTCCGGGCTAACCGCAAAATATGAAGAAAGCATGAAGGAAGGAGGTAGGATCTGAAGTCACAAGGATGTGATGGGGCAGGCAGAAAAGAAATAAAGACACTCGGTGCAACAAAATAGAGAGATCCTCTGTAAGACGTGAACGGAACCAGCGTGCGCAGGAAAACAGACGAAGCAATGAGAGAAACACACCCACACCACACCACACCACACCACACCACAGCACAGCACACCACACCACATGGGAAAAAGAGACTAGATAGAGGAACAAACACAAAGAGAGATCAGGGCAGAGAGGAAGACACAGAGAGAGTAACCGAGACACAGGAACCGAGGGTCACACGTACGGAATGGAAGCTGCAGAGAAAGAGAGCCATGCAGTCAATGCGAAAATGCCAATGACGCCTTCCCCAAGAACCGGAGACCCTCAGGGTGACCCCCAGAACCGCAGACGCGGCCGCGTCAGGCTCCTGGATTCTATCGGCGTTCAGGAAAAGAATGGCACCCAAGAAGACGCGGCTCCAACTGGTCGCCGCCGCTCACCTGCCGTCCTCCCAGGGCAGCTGCGCCGCTTTCCTCCGGGAGGGCAACATCATGGGGAGACACGGCTGGACATGGAGCTCTCGCTCCCAGCCCGGCCGCCCGGCCTGCCCGGCCTACGCGGCGTCTCCGCCTCCGCCCCGCCCCGCCCCGCGGTCCGTCAGGTCCGTTCCTCCGGCCGGGCCGGCTGCACCCCAGCGCTGCCGCCTGGAAGGTTCTGCTGCCAGGAGAAACACGCCGGCGGGTCTCAGGGACCAACTAGATGTCACAAAAAAGGCAGCTTCCTCCCCTCATCAGGCCAAGG